GATTAGACATGTTTTTATTATTGTCATTAGTGATTATCTCAATTTCGGCTAAAAGACTTGACAAAATCCTTCACACTGTACCTTTAAGTTATTACTGTCCAGATTATAAAGGACTTTTAATGTCCATCGACAAAATGCATTTTAATAGATATAATCAGTATTATGGGTGTTGAAGGCGATGCTCAYAGCACCTCCCCAAATCAGAAATAAATTTTGCTTCTCCAAACTGAGTTATTTACAACGGGTAAGATGTTAAGTGTTCACATTTCCAGAGCACTACAAAAGATATAAACTAYAAGAGATTAGCTTTTGCTAGTAAACCTAAACTAAACGTCACCCATCCAACCAACACTAATGTTAGACTGCAGTGAACAGTCCTGAGGCCTTACCCATCATCCCTTAAGTTCACTGCACATTCTTCAATTTCCCCAAAGACTTCAAAGCGGCGCTTCAACTCCGTCCGGCTGCAGTCGGACCTCAGTCGTCCCACGTACACCACCCGTCTCTCCTCCTGCTCATTAAAGGGAAAGACAGAGGCAGGCAAAGAGATTAAAAGGGAGGGTACTGTTTTTCCTTTCCCCCCCTGTCTCTTTCTTCTCCAGGCTTTAATGAATTGGTCTTGATCACTCCTGTGGATACTGCCACTGCTGACTTTGGGCCCCTGTTTTTTTTTTCTTTCTTTTTTGTCCCCTCTTTGCTGTCTGCTTGCTTGTGTTCATCTGTGATTGGTTCAGTTTGCTTCTTCTTATCTGATGAAGTAGCAGCTCGGGAGCACCTTCAATCTACCTTGACAGTACAATTCCTCTTTCTCTCTGCAACTCATCAACCAGAGGCAGAACGATTTTTATCAAATGATGCCAAGTCTTAAGTTTGTGGCTTCTCCTCCTCCTTCTACTGCGAAGTCTAAAAATAAAAGCCAYGGGGGGTGACTAAGTCATACATCAGAAAGGCTTGGCTCTCACCCCACCCTCTTTTCTTGGATAAAATACAAAGAAATCCTGCTTGCAAGAATGAGAAAATATGTAAATATTAAAAGAATATTCATACCCAAGAGAAGGGAWGTGTTTAAAAGCACTGAGCCACGAGGCAGAAAACCATAGATTTTCCTTGAACCTCAAAGGACGCGAGGGTCAAGTTGGAATAATTTTAGGAACAAACTGCAGAAGGCAGCAATCATGGCTTTTGAGTGGTTTAATTGCATCTGCTAATCATCTAATACAGTTAAGCCCCAGGGCTACAGTCCATCACTAACATTATTTATTTATTCATTCATTTACTCGCCACAACTGGGGCAAGTCCTCCGAGGCCTGGTGCAAAATTTTAAAAGCCGTCCTGAGAATCACAGTAACATGTATGTAAATGAGTCGCCGTGTGCTAAACTCAAAGTTCACCTTTGTCCACCCGGCGTCGAGCCGAGAACAAATTAACCACAGATTAATGCTTTTCCCACTCTTTTTTAACGCTTACGTATTGTTTTAGACTAAAAAAAAAAGCCTTTGCTGAATTAAGAGTTTTGTTGCTGACAAGTGATAAATAAGTGGTCTTTCCTTGATGGCACCCTGAGGGCTGCTTRTGTTTTATATAAATATGTGTGTATGTGTTTGTGTGTGTGTGACTGCAGAAGGTGGTAGAGAAATGAAGCAAAAGCAAAACGAGCAAGACAGAGAGACACCGTCTCATCTCCGGCCTGCCAAATCTTGTTTGACAGCTTGAGCTTCACTGCTCATGATTGTTTTTCTCTCTGTCTCTGGRAGGAAAAAAAATATGCACGCTGAGCTGAGCTGGCATTACTGTATCATTTAATGTGTGTTTTAGCAACGGGGGKTGAGGAGCGTTAGCCCCACTGGAAACCTGAGTAATTTCCCACTGAGACAAGGAGAGTGGAGGTAAGTCAGAAATTGGGATGTTCACTGATTTGTTCTGAATTTGGAAACAGATTCCAAAGAAAATTTTTAAAAAAGAAGCTTTGCTTTCTTTGAAAAAAATGCATATTATCATCTGCCTTTCATGTCAGCATTGCAGACTAAAACAGTCTTAACTTGGGAAATGACAAAGTTACATGTTTTTTGTCAAATTTTTCAGAATACATCCTAATTTCATATAAAAGCACTTTTCAGCATTGAAAAATGAAGTTGTCTACATGTTTCTTTGAGTTGGCTATTTTTTTTTTAAAGTTAGTGCACCACAAAAATAAGTAGACGCCTCCTTAAAGTGTCTGTGACATAATTTTTTTGTAATAAATTTGAATGCATTTTTGTAAAGATATCATTGGTAACGTTGCAAAAAAAAAAATCCACACCGCTGAGATGAACAGTTGTTGAGATATTCGCATATAAAGTAACAGGAAGTGATGTCAAAGGGGAATGTCAGAACATGAGCAGAGTATTGCTACAGTGGCTGACAACACAGACTGTAGAGAAGAATCTGTTTCTTTAGATTATTCTGAGCCCCTATCAGAGAGATATAAATAATATTATTAAAAAAAGAAAATAGAAGATCTCCTCCTTTAAAAGATTTCTGTTTGATGTCACTTCCTGTTTCAATTTGCTTGAGCCAAGTTCAACTATAAATAGCATGTCAAGTTAAGTTCATAAAAACTTTATTGATCCCAAAGGGAAATTACAGAATATGCCAGTTATGAAACAMAATGAGTGAAATTATCATGCCAAATTTCCTAAATTGTCACAGGTTCTTTAACTTAAATGTTTGAGTACATTGAACAAATCCCTCAACAACAAAACATATTAAGTTTGCACATGAAAAATTACTTTAGGAACTTGAAAAATAAATTGTCTGTAGGATATATGTAAAAAATAATTTAGAGAAACTCAACTCAATATAACTTGTCAACTTAATAAAAAAAATCATAATTCAGATTAGACTGTTTCTTAATTACGCTTTGAGATGTCAAAATAAGTCATGTTGGTTTGCTGCATTTGAGTTAGCCGAATCTAAAATTACATGTTGAATATATTTAATAATCACAATATTGGTAACTTAAAAATCTGAGTGGAAATTATTGCCACAATAGTATTTCCAGTTGAGCCAACAAAACATTTTCAGAGTGTATGTGGGGTAAATGACATCAAATTTTAGCTGAACGTCTGTAAAACTGGAACCGAGTTTTAACCATTTGTGTTTTCCTCCGTGAAAAACACAGACAAAAGGCTTTCGCCTTTCAGCAGCAGGTGATAAAAAGGAAAAAATCTCAAAGAATCAGTGACCACTTCCCCCTCTCTTTTTTAACCTCTCTTCTTCTTGTTCAGCTATTTTCTGTTTTCYGCCATTTTAACCCCTGTGGTGTTATTAATATGAGTTGACAGAGTTTCCAGACGACAGAGATGTTAAAAATACACAACCTAAAGATAAAGAGGAAGGGCCTGTCGCCTGAATCATTCAGGAACTCACTTTGTATGTATATTTTTCTGTGGAGAAATGCTTTGGCACATGGCACGGAGCTCGAGGCCGTCCCATCCTAAGTGATCTGTGGGAGGGTTCTGTGCCACATCCCTGATTACATGTGCTCCTTTATCAGCAGTAGTAAAGGAAAATAAGTCGAGCAACAAAAAAAGAACTSGTGATATAGAAAGTGTGACTTAGTTGACTCACTATTGCTTTTTGCCTTTGCTTGTCTCTCTGCTCGGCCCTTTCAAACTCCCGCTTCTCGTAATCCAGGCGGTACTCCTCCCTCTTCAGCCTCTCGTGCTGGTACTCCTCATAGCTGTCATACCTGCGGAGGAAAAGGATATGTACAACATCGATCACTGTCCTCCCCCGTCCCTTTTTTTAATACGTTGTTCCTGTCGATGCTTATGAAGAACAATTGCCAGTATCCACCAAGGACCAAGTCCGGTGACGGCTGAGGAGTTGGTTGCAAAGCAAAGGAGATGGACGTGTTAATAAGATGTCTTTTTCGCCGTTGCTAAGAACACAGAGCCTGCAGGACAGGCCCGCGGGAGTGCCGGCGAGCAGCGCAGTCGGGGACCCAGGCAGCTGCAGCTGTCAGCACAACTTCACATGTCATTACTTTCTGCTTAGTTAGGGCTTCATCAAGAAGGAAAAGTGCTACTTTCTGCCCCTCCCCCCCTTCTCTGCACTACACTAGCACAAGACATGTCCACTAAGTTTTCCACTGATGAGCGACTCTCGGGCTTGTCGGGTGTCATTAGGCACGTGGGCGCCAAATCAGCTCAGAGCGCTGAGATGGGGTCAGTCTGTGCCAGTACTCCTCTGCATATGAAATAGTCCTGTCTGCAGTGGCTCAAGGAAAACTACAGACAGATACTCAGAGTAGAGAGCTGGAAGCATCAACTCATGAGCGTAGCATGGAAGAAAAACCATGATTGCAATTTTTATTAATCATAGTCGAGAGTTACGCAATCTTTTCCACTGTAGGATTTCTTCTCTGTGACAGGACTGACAAGCTAAAGGCTAGTCCGAGCAAGAACTATAGGGGATTGTTGCCTCAACACATCCAGCAACTCATGCAATTTTTTTATTCTATATTCATGTTCAGGTTTGCATGATGTTGGTGTCTCCAACAGTCACTGGGAAAGGGGGACACAGTACATCCTGGCCAGTCCATCACAGGGCCACATCAGGTGTTTTTGCATCGCCAGGCCCGGCTCGCTCTGCCACCGCTGCAGTCGTCTCAGCCTTTTTATACCCCGACCCCGACTGTGTTTGCGTTGAGCAGAAATGTGGGCGGMGTCTTGATATTAAAGACATGAAAAGTACCGCAGATTAAACATGATCATCCAATAGTATTACGCTTAAGACAAGAGGTCAGGACAGCTGAGAAAGGTAAGCTAATGGAAGCTAATGTTAGCTTGTTGTGTAGTTAAACTGTGAAAACAWTGTTAGTTGTTGCAAATGATTCAAGTAAAATTACTCAAATCTGTGTGATTTAACTGCCCACAGTCAGTGAACCAATCAATGAGCAGCAGTAGCTGACGGGTTTCAAAAATTGGTCTGGAACTGGGCCATGAGGGCTAAATTTCCATAGTTGTAAACACGATAAACTTTTTTTGTCAATTTTTTTTTACACGGTTATTTCCTCTCACTGTCTGAAGTCATTTGATCAGATTCTAAAGGTCCCTCATACTCACTTTAGGACTTTAAAACCCAGTTTTCAAAGTGGTTATTAAGACAAATTTCCCTTTATTTTTGTCTTATTTACATCACTTTCCTTCAAACCATCCTGTTAAAAAATTCTGTCAGGACACAGCACACAGTAAAAACTTGCCCTTACCTGAAGCACATGACTGTACTAAGATTAACAATGCATATTAAGCAGGAGGCTAAACATTGATTTAAAACAATTACCTTGGCCTGCGGCTCTGAGGAGATCGAGACTGAGGGTGGGGGCTCTTTCGGATTCTGGTGCGAGCAGCATTCARATCTGAGCTGTGATGAGACCTGAAGTAAAGAAAAAAGAAAAGAAATAAAAACAGAAATATTTTAGAAAAATACAGAATGATGTTTAATTTTTCAGTTAAAATGTATCCTACCAGAGCCCAGGCCCAGCTTCAAAAACATATTACTTTTGACAGCTTTTTAAGCTTTGCAAGATATACTACTCCAAAAAGTACCACATGAAATGTATCTTTTTTCCCACCACATTGGCTTCATGCAGCTTATGGCTACAGTAAAATGTTCATGATTTATACCTGAACTTWTTTTTGAACATACCTGAACTGGCTTTTGCATGTGCCTACTAATGTTGTATGAAGAGGTGGTCAATAGTTTAAACCCTTGCGGCCTGACTGTACAGTTTACACGCCTGCACGCTTTTGAGCTTCTAATGCTCAATTATTGAAGTATTCCTGAAGAAGGAAGGCCTGAATAATGAAACAGAAAGAAGTTTCGGAAGCTAAGTGAAGCGATGCAGTGCCAGTTTTGAAAGCTAGAGGATTATATGTGGCGAAACTCAAACAAAGAACGGCGTTTTGAGAATTGGTCGGCTGAAAGGCTGTTTTCTGATTCTTGCATGACTTTGCTTCTTTTCTTGAACGCCTATTCAGTGTTTTCACAAAGCTYGTCAGTGTCAGATTTTGATCGAAAGCCTTGAGACTATTACTGCATAATTTGTGAGCACGTTGGTGTAGAATAAAGAACAAGGGCCTGAACAAGATGAAGTGATTCTACTGGCTCCGTGGAGTAAACTGACCTTTCAGTAATCATGCAAACAAAGTGAGTCACTGCAGTGAAGACTGACACTGTGAGGAGCTCAATGAGCTGCTACTGACAAACTCAATTTATTCACATCGTTCTCAGTAACTAGTAATTGCTTTCTTCTGCCATAAAAAATGTTTAATTCTCTCAGCTCTGATCAAAGGGAAAGATGGGAAACGTAGTTCTCACAGAGGGCCATGTTAATAAGAGTTCTTTTTCGAAGGTGTTTAGAGACTACATTYCCACAGTCTGGATTTGGCTTTTATCTCTAGAGATGTAAAAGAAGAAGGTTTGCCACTCAGTTAAAACAACATCTGCCGCTTAAAACAATAGCCCTGGCATCAAAGAGAAAGAAAAGTAAACGGGGGCAAGGGAGTGAGTGAGAAGGGACTGTTATTAGAGAGACGCTCAAAGAAAACTCCTTGCCTAAAGATGAAAACTCATCATGTTCAAAAGTCTAGTGCCAGAAGCAACTTTTAGAATTTCTTTTATTATTTCATTGTACTTTTGAGCCTTTTTCCCCTACTGTCAGAACAAATTTAAATATAACCTGTTTCAAATATTAATAAAACAATCCCATTACGGTTAGGTAAAACACGGGAAAGTTAAAAACTCATGCTTGAAGCTGGGTTGCGGTCTCATTGATTGAATTGTTCAGATGTACTAGGGGAATAACAGCAAACTTTTGAAAAGGTATAGGTGAAGGTAGKTCTGATCCTAACAACCTAATACAAAGTTTGGACATGAAGTCTTTAAGGTCTCACTCTGTGGCTGAAAAATGATCAGACCCATGTTTTGCTGTAGAACTGGACCCCCTGCCAGCTCAAAGCCCCATGTAAATGGGATGTTTGGGAGCAGCCAAAGTGCAAATGTGTGTGGCCCTGTGCGTCTACATTTTCATGCTTGTTTCTTTCTCAGACAGCTGGCCAGGCTGGCTCAATATTGCCATAATAAGTCGAAACCTCTACCACTGAGGCATCGCTGCTATTTGAGAGTAAAAACAGTATTTTATTTTGGTCAGAGTTCAGTCAAGATTTGGGTTAAGTCCTAAGAGGTATTTATGTCAATTGAGAGTACCCTACAAAAACATTTTTTTATTGAATGACAACTTACCAGGAGGAAGGACGTCTTTCTGGTGAGCTGGACAGAGAGCGCCTGCGGTAGCGTGACGAGGAGCTGCGGGAGCCAGAATGAGAACGAGAGCGGGAACGGGACCCGCTACTGGTCCAGTAGAAAGGTCTGCCGGGGGACAGGAGAAGGGAGGAAGGCGGGGAGACAGAGCCTCGTGACGGGGAACAACTGGATGGTGGAGAACAGGAGGGAGAGTGGGGAGAGCAGTCGAAAAGTAGGTCCAGGGGTGTTCCCTCCCATGGAAAGATGAAGCGACTCTCGTGGCCCTCGTCCAACTCTACCTCATCATTAAAGGACAGAAATCCCAGGGGCAAGTAGCTGGAACCAGGCAGCCTATGGGAGTTYAAGTCATTCTCTCCCCCTGAAAAGGACTGAGGGGTAGTAGGCTTGTTTGGTTTGCTGTTTGAACCTCTCTCCTTTCCACCCTGGCTGTAGAGGGCTTTTACTGGAGGGCCAAAGTGCTTGTTGAGTTCTGCTCTGATTTCCTGGTCACACAGAGGCCTCCGACTGGTTGCAAAAAGTTGTGGTTGGTCCCTAACAGTGGTGGCCTCATGTGTGGGGATCTGAGTGGTGTGTGTAAGGGTTGACTCCCTTATGCCCCTGTCACAGCCTCCTCCTCCATCCACAGGGACAAAATCCTGCTTCTTAGTCAAATGGCTAGRTGAAGATGACGATGTAGAACAAGAAGATGATGAATATGACGTTGAAATGGCCGAGTCCTTACATTCAGAATGCCTGTTCTCCCCTTTGCTAGCACTTGGCGTAAGAGCAGCAGTGGCATCTGGGGTGAATGTCATTTCCACAGCTGTGGTCATGGAAATGGTGGTTGTGCCCCCATCCTTCTTGGTACAAGCCGATGCCTGGCAATAGTCGTGGTCACTGTGGCGACGAGACATTGCCCGCTTGTTGTTGCCAGTGCTGCAATGCTCCTCAAAACCACCCCCCGCTGCAGGGAGGGTGGTGGATGCTTTGCTCAACTGCGCGTAGAGCTCGGTCTGTTCAGGACCCTTTCTGATGGGACCCCCGGCTGAGGCACCTGGGGCCAGGATCAAAGCACCGGCACCCAACTCACTCAGCTTGGCTCTTTTGCACGTCAAGGCCGAGGAGGAACATGAGGACAACTTGGTTTTCAGAGATGCTTTGAAAGGATTCTCTTGACTGGCTTTGTGTGGGGGCGTGGTAGGTGGTGTCAAACCTGGGCAGAGAGAGAGAGAGAGAAAGAAGGGGTGGGGGGTTGGGTGTGAGCAATAAAACACAAATTGACTCATACAGACCTCTCACCAAGTAACCTGCTCCTCCCATTCTTCCCTCACCCACCTATAAACTCCCAGGTCCATTTATGGACAGCGGACTCAGATGCATGCCTGATTAAAATATTCACTTTCGCTTGGTCTAATCCTATTTTATTGCAATCCTGACAGATTAATGTAATGCTTGGTGTAACTTAATATGGCAGGGCTGTAACACGGATGACTTGCCATTCTTCTCTTTTCTGACCTTGAAAAGATCCATTTTCAAGAAACAAAAAAATCACAGTGGGGAAATGTTATAGAACACTAAATGTATCATCTATTTTCCAAAAGCTCCATTGTTGTCTCAAGATTATCAAGCAACATCTGTATTTTCTGTTCAGTATTGCTGGAGGACAGTGTTCCGAATGCACATTTTGGCATTCCTGGAGATGTTCGCCATTTCATTGAAACATTGGAAGAAGCGGCGTTTGGGTTGACATTCTTCACAAATGTCTCTGCTGCTCATGCCCCCCCCCCCCCC